ACACAGTAAAATAACACTAGATTTCATAATATTTGGAATAAGAAGGCTGCCATCCAGGTCACCTAATTTGTGCATAGCTTTATTCATTTTTCTTTACCAGAAGTCCAACCGCAGGAGGACTTCTGGTTTTGCGGTTATATATTTTTTGCGTGTATATATATATTCTCCTGCAGTTGGACTCCTGCAAGTCCAACCACAGGAGGTTGGACTTTATGATGCTCAGCACCAGAATTAGCCATAATGCAGGACAGCTTTTCTGCGAGCATGACAACAGCAACTGAGCGATGTTGCAATGGAAAATAAAAACGTACCAGGGAGCACACCTTATATTCTCAGATGTTTTAGGCAAAGCCATCAGAAATTGTTCACTGGAGAGTATCTTCAACCATGGCCGCGGGAAGTGGGTCCCGATCACCACTAGGGGTTGCTGGAGCACCCCCTAGTGGTGATCGGGAGATTGTAAAAGATGTATTAAAAATACTTTCCACAATTTATAAATCCATCCATCCATCCATCTTCTTTACACGCTTGTCCCAAGTGGGGTCACGAGGGGTGCTGGTGCCTATCTCCAGCAGTCAATGGGCGAGAGGCGAGGTACACAATTTATACATTTTCTTATGAAAATTTTGAGAAATTATTTTAACTTTTTCATTAGCTGTATTTGGACTTTTATTTAATTATTTTTAGCCCCAATCAACACAAGTTCACAGAAGTTACATTGTCACAGCAATGCCAATCAAACTATCAATCGCAGAGTAAGGAGGTATCCCGATCATGGCAGCAGACTAGTAAATGTACATATTCTAATGACAGAAACGAGGAGGAAATATGACAGAGAAACTAATTTTGTACTTGTCTGCTCATCAGAGACTTTATCTCCACAACTTCAGAGCGCACCTGAACATTTGGACACCTGTAACCAGGGCATCCTGCCTGTAGCTCATAGTTAGAGTATGGTGCTGACGGGCACTTTCATATCTATCGAGCAGTTTCACTTAACCATAATATTTTAGAAAGTGTTATTTTGATCTCATGTGTAATGGATGTAGATAACTGTTCAATAAATAAATAGTATCAATATAATGTTATTTTGTGGTTTGTGTAAAAGGATTTTGGAGCTAATAGAGTCATATCAGTGAATAAGGTTCATGTCAGCTGATCAAATCTATGTTGTTATAGTGTTATTGTAAAGTTTAATCAACAGCGCATATATTCACCTGAGAACAGATGATGTCTGTGTGTTACAGACCCTGGTTGCGTACACTGAAGTGTATATGACAATAAAGTAGTGAATCTCAATCTATTTACTTATTTATTTTTATTGTATTGTATAGGTCTTTTGTCAAAAAAAATAAAAAATAAAAATTTCATAGCACCCCCTGTTCAAAAGTACCTCCAGCTGCCCTGTCTTCAACGGCTTTGAGCTGTTTCACCGACTACAAAATTACAAAGAAAAAAGAGCGAGAGTTGATTTTGCGTCAACGTCTGTAGTTGTCTGATTGGTTCTAACCTGATGATGCTGAATGTTGAAAAAAAAAAAAAAAAAAAGCACTGAATGTTGGAAAACCGGTAAATCATATCTCATCATATCATATCTCTATATCATGTTTACATTTGATCACCATGATGAGAGCTGTACTGAACGAAATGTCGTTTTGTATACACCCTGTGTTTCAGTTATGCAGCTATTTGTATGAGTACACGACTTTCATCAGTGACTACCAATACCAGGGATTTAAAAAAAAGCCATTATCACCCAAACGCACAGTTTTTCAGAGTTGACAGGCATCTTACTATATCTGCTACTTTTAACTTTAGCTTTAAATGTCCAAACTGTATCGGAAGGCAGAGCAGGGCTTGCTGGAGGGAGAAATGAGATTCCTCAACACTTCACTGCACTTCTCTGTTCACTGACTCCCCCACACACACCTGGGATGGCTATTTCATTTAGGAGTGGAGCAAATGGAAAGGTGATCTTAATCTACCCCGTTTCCTTCCACTTCCCTCCCCCACTTCTCTATCTCCCACAAACAGCATCTCACGTCGCTGATGGACAACTCATTGCTGGTTGCCTGGGCATGCCACCAGCACCAAAAAGTTGTGCTATATAACACTGGACATGCACTGGTTTGTTATCCTGTAGAAACTATCAATTCAGATTTTTTTCTATATTTAAACCTGTATTATCCTACCCTTTGTAGGCAGAAATTATTCTTTTACATGGGCAAAAGTTGTTGATTTCAAGATTTTTATGGGTCTTTTGTTAGCTCGTTACGCAGTGTTGGGTTTCTCTTTACTGCGGTGCACTCTTTGGTCATTGCAGTCACAAGCAGAGCTATGCAACTGCCATTGATTTCCTATGAATGGCCCTCTGCAGGCCAGTTCATTAGGACAGGGCTTGAACACCACTGGGTTAACTAGACTTTGGAGCACTAATGGAATGCATGTTGCTCTCAAGAAATGAGCATCGGTTTTAATATAAAACATAAAAACTTTTCCAGATTGTAAAATGAAGTTTTCCTTTTAGAAAAAAAAAATATTCTTGTTGTTTTGGATGAGGAGAAAACGGTTTTGCATGAAATCGGAGAAAAACAAATCCGACTTTCTGCTTCTGTGAACACACTCCCCTTTTTATTTTCTCCTCAACACATGGCTTAAGGCTGGACCAAGGCTGCTGCTCCACCCGCCAACTGTTACTATGGCAACGCTATCTGGGCCTACCAAGACCTGAAGCCGAAGGACATCCTGGACAACAACACAATAGCAGCACAGCCAGGGTACCTGAGGGAGTTAGACCTGAGAGGCCAGCTCTGGTGGGGGTTGGTGGGGGTGGGGGGAGTAAATCCGCTCTCTCTCTCTCCCCACCTCCCCTCAAGCACAAACGGCCAGGATTAGCCTCCAGCTTGAAATTCTGAAAAGAAAAGGTTCATGATTATTTTTCTGCAACGGTTATTATTGATGCCTTTTTTTTTCTTCAAAAAAATGACCTGAGAAATAATAAGGTACCAAAAGTTTATTAATCTTAATACTAGTTTAATAATAGATGGTACCTATTGTGGGAAAGCAGAGCTATAAAGGCTTGCATTTTAAGAACGGAGAGAAGCCTGCACACTACTAGTAGACAGAGTTTTAATGATAATGTTTTGATCCAACTTGGACTTTTCTCAATATTCTTAAAGTCATAACTTGGTTTGAAATATTAGAAAAAAGACTGTGAATTATGTGGCTTTTCCTTTATTCATGCTAGGCGTTCCAACATCTGCTGCATAGATTAAAACAGTGAAGTGCACTATGAATCATTTTCTTTTGAAGACTTTTACATCACAAGACACAAAGCAGCACAAATTAAAATAGGAGAATCTGGTGTTAAGAAAACAATTTGTCTTTAAAGCCACAAAAATATTTTTTGTTTAATTAGACGATAGGACGTCAATCTGATCAGATAAGTCCAAAATTTCACTTTGTGGTATCTACAAAAGCACTATGTGATTCAATAAATCTGCATCACACATGACCTCAAACACACCATCCACATAGTGGTACATGATGGTAAAAGCTTCATGCAGGTAAATGGAGCTAAATTATACCCTCCCCAGCTGTTAGAGAAGCTCAATCTGCTGAAAATAGTAACACTTATATCAGGTAAATCTGATTTGAAATTTTATTGATCATGAAAGATCCAAAAATCTTTATTTGAATACTCTGTGGCTAAAGGACCTGGGTGTTTTACAGAATTTCCAAAGGCAAACCAAACCTTTTATACAACATAATAGAATTTCAGAGCAAATAAATGTAGTTTTAGACCAAGATGTTAGTTAGTCTCAACTTAGTGAATTTCTTTAAAAAAAGGCTAAAATTTCATATTACATAAACGGTTAAACTTCACTTTCTATCCATAATGTTTTTTTTTATGTGCTTTGTTTTTGTAGCCTTATTTTGGCGGGTTTCTTGTGCTTTAATTTGTCAGTGATTGCCACACTTTTTGGACATGATTTGGTTTGAAACAATATTTTAAAGCTTTTATCAATTTCCATCCACAGTTCTACAATTATTTGAAAAGCTTTATTTTACAAAGTCCCCACAAAATTCATGGAAATTTATGGTGTGAAAAATCTTCAAGTAGGATGGATTCTTTTGCAATGCCTTGCAAACAGATTTTATATGTATGCCATCCCAACCAATACATTTTATTGTGTCCTGTACAATATCAATGTGTCTTCCTCTTCTTCTTCATCACCTGTTTCACATTCATGATTGCAGTAACCTCATTGCTGCTAACTACTGAGACCAAGACACAAACTCTGGCTGGTGGTGCCAAGGCTGGAAAGTAATAGAGATGTTTGGAGTCTATTTGTCTTGCTTGCATTCCTCTGTGTTCCGCTGCTAAAATAATAAGAGGGAGGGTTACCTCAGGTCGGCTCCAGCTGGGGGGGGTACGGAACATGCATTGTTGTCATTGGCTCCATCTGAGTATCCCTCTTAAAGCCGCAGCGTGGAACTGAGGAGGCGGGCCCTGCTGCCCACTTTAAATAACACCACAAGGTAGAAGGGATGAACTGATGTGCAGATGTTGTTTGTGTTGGTGTGTGTATAATAGACACACACTGTACTAGGGAAAGGTTCAAGGCGAAACTCTTACTGTTTATATTCACAGAGTTAGTGGTCAATAAAACTCCTCTCCTATTCTTGGATGAGGGCACTGCATGAGTTTGTATTCCACTAATGGTTTGAGAGGATTGTAATCAGTGTTATTGCATAAGCCTCACAGCAGCAAACAAGGATATTAAGAATGATTAAGAAGGAGACTTGCTATGCGTGCTGGCTTTCCACATTTTTGGTGTAATGATTTTCAACCAGACATCATTTCTATTTAAAATGTGCCCATTCCCCAATGGATGTAGCCAATACATTGTAAATTTCTGTGTGTGAATAACAAAGTGTGGGACCTGCTTACTCATGCCAAAACACCCGTCTTACACCTCCTCTGTGTTCCTTCACAGGCAGCCTAAGAAACAGGATGTTAATGCTTGACGGAATGCCGGCAGTCCGAGTCAAAGCCGAGCCCCTGGAATCGGAACAAGGGGTAAGAGAGCAGTTATTTTCCAGACAATTCCTCTTTTTTTCTTTTTTTCCCCTCTGCTTTCCTTTTCTTCTCTTCCGCCTCCTGGCAATGGGTTGATAATCACTCCCAGGCCTAAGCTAGTGAGTGTGGGGGCTACGAGCTGTGGTTGGGGAGCATGGTGGTAGGCAGAGAAAAGAGAGAGGAACCACGAAAAGAGGAGGAGAGCCACAGCTGGAGCAGGAATGCAGTGGGGTCTTATTGGGAGGTGACTCGGGCCAACAGAGTCCGTGCAAGCAGGGGGGTGGAGGTGGAGGGTTAGTGCACAGATGTAGTCACTACTCTGGGGAGGAGAGTTTGCATGGGAAACTCCAAATCTAATCTGGCTTTGTTTGTTGCTGCTTTTTTATTCTGCTCAGTTTAGCCTTCACCCTCTTTTGCCAGGAGCTCTGACAAACATATGAATAATATCTGTTTCTTGCACGCAAATTTGCGCAAACACTACATGTAGTCTTGGACATATCTTACATCTAAAGTGATGTTTGTCACTGTTATCACTCAATAAAAAAATGTCGCTCAGAGATTTTTTCCCACAACCAGCCCCAGGTTTGACAATAACAGTTTGCAAACTTATCACTATTTCTCTACAATCCAGAAATGTCAAACCTCATATAGTTACACATGAGATATACATGGATCTTAAAACAAGTCAATATGCATAACTGATAGCCTGAGAAACAAAGTTATCCATTTGCTATGTGGTATGACTTCATTATTTACTCCACCTAAATGTTTCCTGTAACTGTTGATCAGTCCTGGGTATCAGCTTGAAAGAATTTGAGCCAATTCATCCATGCAGGCATGCTTCCAATTCTAAAACGAGTTGCTCACTTCAGGTTATTCCACAGTGTTTCTGTGTGTCTGTGTGAATAAGGTCGGACATCCTAACTGCTCTTGTGAATTATGCATTTTGGTCATTTTCTGATTCAGTTACAGAACTTCTGACTAGCTTCAGATACCCCAATTTGTTTTTTAAAATTGTTTTATATTACCACACTACACCATTACTTTGTGTTTTTTGGAAAAAATTTTATTTCTGTCTTTTTTTTTTGCATCCACAACATTTTTTCAGCATCTCCATGGAGCCCCTGTCTGTTTTTTTTTATATGAACTGCAAATGCTGTTTGGAGCTGTTTGTTTCTTCCTACCTAACCAGTTTACATTTATGCATTGAACAGTTAATATGTTTTAAATGAGGTTATGTTAAAAGGATATATAGCATCTTTGGTTAATCCAGATTAGTTCAATCTGGAGGCTAATGCTAACAGGTTGTAGGACAACGGCCAAGACCAAATCAGACTTTTTGAAACCTATGATTGTCACCAGGTATGTGTTGGTTAATATCTAACACAGATGATGAAAATTAGGCCTACTAACACAGGAAATCAAAGATAAATGCGTAACACCGCCACTGATCTTCCAATGAATGTAAATAAGGAAGGAAAAAGAAAAGCATTTTTGGATAAAGAAGCTGTATCACATATGAGTGTAGATGTAAAAGCTCAAATGAACAAAGTTATTGCTATTTTACATTTTCTTCCCTTTCAATAAGGAACTCACTCTGTCCAAAAAACATTTCTTTTTATTTTCAATACCACCTTTATCCATTTCCTTTGCAAATGATGATTTGCTCAAAACTCTTAATTTCTGTTGAATGGAGATGCCAGGAAAGTAAATATTCGTTTGCATGTTCTCTTTACAGTGGTCTTTGCTGATTATAATGCAATGACTTTAATAGAATCCCCTTTTTCTAAGAAAACCTACATACATACGTATATCATATTTGTAAGGTCACTATCAAATGACGTGCTAAACTTTTTCATATATTTACTTTTGCAGACACTGATAAAGCAGTATTTCCCTTTTTAGGCTTATAGGTCACCCTATAGTCACGACTTAGACTTGTGACCCCAGCAAATCACTGATTCAGATATAGAAACATGATGCTAAGCTAATTAAGTGAGAACAATTCCTGCAGACTTTATAATCAGTGATCTGATTTTATACACTCAGAGCTTATCTTTATATCTCTGCAATAATTGAGACAGAACAGCGTTTAAAGGTCCGCAATGGTGGTTCTAGCCCCAACTTTAGGAAGCGCTGGGATGGAGACAGAAAAAATCTGCTATATATTTAGAGTTGGCAGAAATATTCATCTTCTATCTCAAGTTTTCAACTGCAAAGACACATAGGAGGATTTAGTGTTACTTTTCAGCTGCTCTGCTTTTAAAGCTCACATAGTGTACAATATCCACACTCCCTGCGATGACATACCTAGAAATGAAGTGGTCTTGTTATTGTGAGACTGTTGCTTGGTTACCAGGCCTGTGTGGCTCTGTGTTTCTGTCATAGCGGTGTGTTCAGTGGGTGCAGGCCACTTAATATTTGTAATTGCGATAGATTAGTGTTCAAACACGATCAATTTACCCTCATAAAATATCAATGGTGTATTTTTACTTCTAATGTATGAGAAACATATTTTTGTGGAAAACATCACAGTGTTTCTCTTTGTGGTAGATAAATACTGGCTTCTGATAAGCCATCAGGTTGTTGCCGATCTGGAGGAAAATTGTTAAGCCATAAGGGTGCCTTCCGTTGATAACAAATTCATCTTCCTCACCACATATGAGAGGTTGGGAAAAGTGGCGACAGGTGGTTGCCTTTCTGGGTGTCCTGCTCTCAGCTGTGGCTCAAGGCTTTAAGAGCCATGCTCCTGTGCTTCTACCTAATACCTGGGGTTTGAAATCATTCCCCTTGTAGTGATGTCAGTCATAGACAGGATGTGAGCGCTGTGCAGCCCACACAGCTTTGAAGTGCTCAGAGATCCAATCTTGCCCTAACAGACTGAGCTTCCCCTTTACATGGCAGATGCAGACAGTTTAGACTGCTGCCGAAATGTGGTCTTCATTTGAGTGGCACGAAGCCAATCCTTTGCTGGAAATGGTCTGCCTCGTTAGGAGATTCGCCTGCAAGGGGCTGGAAAATCTGCCCGGCTAACCAGTATCCCCTAATAAAGACAATGTATGAGGACAGAGGCAGACAGGCAGGTCGGGCGTATCTTTATGTGTGTATCAGTGTGTGTGTGTGTGTGTGTGTGTGCAGGACTGAGCTTGTTTGTTTTTGCGTCTGTTGAGACGAGACTGGGGGTGGCTTCAGCTTTTTCCATTTTTGACGGTTGAGAGTTGTTTTTGAACCAAGCCCCAAAAAACACAGTTTTCTGGTTTGTGTGTTTTGTGTAACGCATCATTGCTTTTGTTAACATCCTCTAAAAAAATTAGACAGAAGAAATTGTTTTCTGTTTTTTTTTTTATTAAAGTAATAAACAGTCATCCTTTTTTTGTCACAATAATGTCCTATTGGGTGGGCAGAGTAGTTTTCTCAGAATCCAGTTGAATTTAAACATGAATGTTATTTGCTTGATGTCATATAGTTTTTAATCATATATATATATGAGGAGGCGTAGTTATATATATACACATATATACATACATATACACATATATACATACATATATATACACATATATACACACACATATATATATATATATATATATATATATATATATATATATATATATATATATATATATATATATATATATATATATATATGTGTGTGTGTGTTTAGTCTATATGTAACAGATGCACCCTTGCACCCTGCAGTTTTAGTCAGACAGCTTGAACCCCAGTTACAGATAAGGCTACATGGCATACAGAAGGTTAAAGTCATCCACTGCTCAGGAAGGTCAGTTTGGGATTTTGTCGGGTTATTAGAAAAAAAGTATCCCATTCTATTTTTTTTTTTTTTTAGGTTTTATTCTAGAGCAAAAATATTAAAATATGAAAGCATATTGAATTTAGATCACCATTATATTGAGCAGCTCTAAATTGTTGTTGTAATAAAGATGTTTACAAAACTAGAGATTCTTAGTTCTGTGGCAAAACACTGATTTGTGGCTTTTGTCAAGGTTTAACCTGTGTAGACTGTTTTCCCCATTTGTAGTGTTTACTCTGGGCTCTTATATAGGAAACAATAGGATCAGCACCAGGATTTTTGTTATTGTTATCGTGAAACTTTGATCTTCTAAAATGTTGCTCTTGTAGAAGTTAGCTAAACATTTTTTTTCGCACAATCTTTTAGTCCCTTACTATGTTAATAATTGCATCTGGATGTATTAAAATAACTTTGGGTTTTTATCTTGCTGTGTTTCCTAAAGCTACGTGTTTTAAACCCTTTGATTATGGTTCTGACAGAATAAACCTCCTCAGACAATGAGCTCTTTCCACGACTTCCTTTATGAAGATCATCCGCCTTATTTGAATTACATATTGTCTCCGCATTTATATTTTGAAAAATAGCTAGAAGATATTTGCCTCTGTGCCATCTGATATGTTACTGAATACTGATGGAAAATTAACTTGGAAAAAGCTTATAAAAAAAAAAGAAACCTCCAGAATTGTTAGAGAAACAGATCATATTGTTCCAAAAGTACTCAAATTTCCAGGCTGGGTTTTAATTCCGTCATATTAATCCACTGCAACTACAGATCAACATTTAAAATATAGCAATTCCTGTCAGAGTACTGATTGAATAATGTAGCATTATGTTAAATATTTATAAATTGTAGTAAAACAGCATAATAATCCATCTGTCTGAACAAGGTACAACATCACTATTTACTCTCTAAGTATATTAATTACAGTTTTTCTAGATTAAGTATGAAGAAAATTATTTTGTAGAGTTTATTTATAGCTGAATAGCAGGTGACCTACAGTAAGTTGGCTCACAATATGCCGAGATCTGTAAAGCTGCCAAGCTTCCTCTCATGGTATTCCTGTGTAACTGAACTATAACTCTGAACCCTCTTCCTCTTTTTGATTTGTTTTAGTTCTTTTAGGTGGAAAAATAGCAACAGTTACCTGTTTATGAACTACTAGTATTTCAGAAGATTGATGAAGCTCAATTTAAAACGTTGGGAGGCTGTTCTTTTAATGCAACGGCTGCAGCTGTTCTCATCCATATATTTCTCATCCATAGCATCTTAAATATCATCCTATTAAACCTTTGGATAATGTAATTGTTTGTTTAATTATTAGGAAAAGTCTGTTTAGATGATTTAAATATTCATTGTTGCTCTGTTTTGTAAGAGCAACCAGTAATGTCTTTGACTGAACTGCACCGATGGAAAAAAAATGTATATGGAAGAAGAAGGATCAACTCATTGGTTTTCTATATATATGGTGGATTTGGTATATCATATTTAGAGTAATTTATGTTGAATTTTATGTAGTGTGGATAAACTTAAAGACAAGTAAATATAGTGTAATAAAACTCTACGGAAGAGACATTGTGGGTGGTAAATATGAACCAGACCGTCATGTATTTTGAATCTTGACCTGACAGCAGTGGCCCTGAGCTGAACCCTTCAAAGGTCCCGAGGCTATAGGAGGGCAGATTTCATAGGGCACCATTTGTTTTACAACTGGGGCTGAGTTGTACAAGCAGAATCATCAGCCGTTCCTTCACGCTCAGAAATGTTTCTAGAAATGTGCAAATAAGGACTCTAACTATAGTGTCTTGCAAAAATATTCACACCTCTTAAACTTTATCACACTTTGCCACGTTATAGTCACAACCCCCAATGTATCTGACTGTAAAAGAACAACAATTTTTTCATGGTAAAAAATGCATTTGGTAGAAAATGAAGCAAAGGCTAGATCATTTTTGTTACAAATACATTTTAAAAGGGATGGAGTTTATTTGAAGCCCTTCAAAGTCTAATAGCCATAAATATAACCCTGTGCATCTATTCTGTTAAACCATCAGTGTTGGGGAGATTTTTTGTGGACATTTTAATAAAGCAGTCTTCCATCTCAGCAAAAGAATGTGCCACAGCTGTAAATCTACCAAAACATGGCCGTCCACATGAATTAAGAAGCTTAATGACTGCATTAATCAGAGAATTGATTAAGATTACCGTGCTAAGTATGGCGGAGCTGCAGATCTCTGTCGCTCAGGTAGGAATGTCTCTTAACGTAAATTACAGACCTCGCCCTTATTAAGGTGTGTCAAGCAGACAGGTCATTCTCAGTTTGCAACAGGCTATGAAGGATATATTTTTAACATATGGAAGGTGCTTTGCACTATTGCCTATTGTTAAATATTAATTATAAAAAAAAAAAAAGAACTCTGTTGTGTTAAACTAAACCTATACTTTACCATAAACTATCTGTCCACACAGTAAAACATGAATGTTGCATGCCATGCTCTGGGGATGTTTTTCTTCAGTGTGGATAGGGAAGCGGGTCAAATTGATGGGAAGATGAAAGGCCTATGCCCCAGTGGACCATAGGCTGTCAGAGGGTGTAAAAGACTTCAAAACGACCCTAAACATAAAGCCAAAACTACGCTGTACAATTTAAAGCAAACTTGATGTGTTAGAGACAAACCAAAGAAAATACATCCTAAAACAATCATGCTTTAATTGCTCTATTACATAACATTCAATTAGAACACAATGCATTTGCTTGTGGTAACATTATTCATTTAAGAAAGAAATTGAGCTAAATCGAGGGACTACTGCATAAAAATGCTGTCACATGCTAATGTGAAATTCTCTCCAAATTATGTAGGGTAAAAAGCAAATGTAAGTCTATTCAAGGAAAGAATAGGCTTAGTGACTCATTTCGGTTTTTCTACTGTTCCTGCTTTTTTTTGTTTTTTAATTTAGTTTATTTAGGAGCTTAGGATAGTGATACAGCTCTGCAAAGTGCTTTTTAAATAATCAGTTAATTAAGTGATGCAAGACTTTTGGCCAGATCAGACTCAGGAGAATTTAATATTTCATGACCAAAACACTGTTAATAAGCAAGGGCTAATGTCTCTATGTTTACAGAACACATTCAGTAACTGCAGAATGGGCAGTGTTCTCAAGATTCAAACCGTTCCCTTAAACTTGCAGCCACATGAAACAGTCTTGTCCCAATCTGCTTGGTGTTAAGTCAAAGATGTGCTTAGGGTTCCTTCAAGCCACCAGCATCGGCCTTTGGAGGCCCTTTGCCTAAGAGACGGTCAGGAAATTAAGCCCACATGATGTTTTTCCACAGTCAGAAAGAGAGATTTAGGAGAGATACGTGGGTAGCCAAGAGAGCTGCATTTGAGTGGGAGTCATGGAAAACAGGAGGAAGAGGGAGCGAGCGCGGCCCACGCCAAGAGGAAAGAAAGACTAGAGGAGGCGAGCGTGAGCGCCAGTATCATTACTCCTGCATTTTATGTTGCTTTCCTTGATGCTACCCCTTTCTACAGTATATAAATGTCACTGCATATGCCTTTTGTGACATTGCTATCATGCCGAGTAATTATTTCTGCAGAGCTATAAATGAGTAAAAACAATTGTCTGTGACCCCTGTTCATTAACAGGCAACTTTTTGGCCTCACTGATGGGCAAAAGATTAGATTTCAGATGCTTTTTATGCCTGTGATTCACTTATTTGTTTCTTCCGTTTTGTATGTCGCAGGTTAATGCATTTCTACAGCTTTAAAATAACAAAACTCTTAATGTCCTTTTTGTTTTACTCCTACAGTCCCCTAAAGTTCGACCTTACTCTGCGATGGATGGCGTCCCCTTCTTTCTCAGCAGAGTTAAATCTGAACCTCCAGAAGACCTCCTCGCTCATCATGACCTGCACTTCCACACGCAGACAGAACCAGTGGACCTGTCAATCAACAAGCCCCGTCCCTTGACCTTGTCCTCCACCACCACCACTAGCACAACCTCCTCGATGTCGCCCCCCCACAGATCCGCCTTTTCTCCATCTTCATTGTCTTCATCCTCCTCCTCCTCGTCTTCTCCATCGGTTATCACCTCAGCCACCTCAGTGCTCACTCCAGGCCCCCTGGTTGCCCCCGGAAGCGGGGTGAGAGGTCAGCCGTATTTGCACATTCTGCAGTCTGTGCCACCGCCTCCGTCCAGTCCTCTGAGCCTGCAGGGAGCTGGGAAGTTGGCCGGCCATGTTCACCGCATCCCAGTTGTGGTACAGTCATTGCCCCTCATGTACACCACTGCAGTACGGTCGCCCTCCAGCCTCAACAGTGCTATCATGCTACCTCTGCTGGAAGAGGCCAAAAGCCAGGGCAAAGGTGAGACCATACTCTTTGGATTTACTACATATTTATGAGGATGACGTTGTTCTTTTTGGAATTGAAAGAAAAAATGTAATTCTTTTGTGGTTCTCCTGTAGTTTAAAATCAAAGAACCCATAAAAGTAAATACAGAGTTTTAGATTCCATGCATCTACAGTACCAGATATCATTGGCTACCAGGTAAACTTTACATACAACACAGCAGAGAATTGTTTTACCAGCTATTTTTTCTTTCCACTTTGCTTTTGTGAAGCCAGACATCCTTGCAAACGTTTTGTACCAAGTCAAGGCAGCTCCACTCTAGATTGTTTTCATTAGGCTTTGTAAAGCATTTCTTTTTATTAAGCTGTTTTTTTTTTTTTTTCCTCAACGATAAATTTTGAAGTAGTGTCGGTGAGGAAATGTTTATCTTAAAGTTTAACTTAATGGATGTAAAGAAAAGAAGAAATGGCAGATTAGTGACTTTTTTTTTTGCATAGAAAGGTTGTCTGCTTCCTAATAGATGTCTCCTCCAACTGCTCTTAAATGCCTCACCTTCTACTGGTTACAAACGATACAGTGCAGACATAAGGTCAAAAGATGTTGTGCCAAAGATGTGCTATCATCTTCAACATAAATTCATCTGTTCTTCCAGTATCATAAACTCAAGAACCTTTTGAAAATTCCACATCAAGCTGAAGACATGTGATCTGTGTCTGATGAGGACATAATTTTCTTTTGGACTTTGAATTTTTATATTATACCAATAATGGAAAAACCAATTGGAGATTCATAGCAGAGACTACCCAATTTTCTTTATAAAATCTCCTTATAGTGTAGCTGTTCAATCTAATAAGGTTCCCACTGTCTTGGTATGAAAAAAAGGCCCACACTATCATGGATTCTTCTTCGTTAAAATGGGCATAATGTACTATAAACAATTGGTTTATATCAGCCCATCCTGGAGATATTAATGCTGAAAAGCTCACTCGTATTTATTCCCATCTGAAAAAAGGTCCAATTAAAATGATCATACCAAAAAAGTAAAAAAACAACAACAATCCACTGGACTTTGTTTCCAAGTTTGAAGATGTTTTGCTTCCCATCCAGGATGCTTTTTCAATTCAAAATGTCAGAATTAGCATAAAGCTTTATATGGTAGCCCAAAATATAAACTATATAAATAAAGCTTCCAACTCAATGCTAGTTGTGACAATTTTTATAGAAAATGCTTCCATTTCAAAACTTGGAAACCAAGCCCAGTGGATTTTTTTTTTTTTTTACTTTTTTGGAATGACCATGACCTGGATGACTGAGAATCTTCACCAGCATAAAACAATCATAGTTTAAGAGATATTGGAAGTCTATATTTTTATTGAATTTCGAGAATTAAGGTTTATGGCTAATGAATCAATTCCGGCACATTACTCCAAAACGATGGGTAAAGTAATTTTCATGTGTGTTAATACATTTTTAACATAATCGTGGGGAAAATTGCTGACTTCAAGATATCAAGCACACTCTCTTTGACCTTCTTCACATTTAAAGTAAGCCACTACAGAATATTGCTTAAGAAACTGGCTGTTGATAGATTATTACATTTAAATATATTGAGGAAAGGTTAAGTGGAAGGAAAAAGGGTGGTGTGGTATTAAGGGGATTGTGACATTGGATATTGTAACCCATGGTGTGTACAGTTGTTTTAAGTCTGTTCTGAGGAGTATAGTTAATTTACCTGCAGATTTATTGCCGAAGGTGTTTATAAATGGTCTTTGGATGCAAACATGTTGCACCTTTTGAATAATGATAAGGTTTACAGATAAAATGGCATTTCTGTCTTCAACAGCCTGTCTTCAAAGGCAGATATGTAAGATAGTTTGAGTATTAGACTTCTGGTACAATCTTTACTGTGTATTGAGTTTTTTTTTTTGTGTGTGTGGTTTTACTGCCAGCTGCTGGAAGAAAGCCTACAGGAGGTGTTTCAGTCCGAGTCCACGAAGTACACAGAGCAGCTTATGGTTGCAAAAGAGGTCGCTCCTCGTCACTCCCTGCAGAAAACGGATAGACGCATTTAGAATTGCACTCACGCCCATGTACAGTATGTTCTGTACATACAAGCAAAACAACAAAGGTGTAATTAGAGCATATGCTCAGACAGACACTTGGCTGCTTGGGTGGGGTGGTCCTTAGAGATGGGGCTTTTTAAATACCGTCTATCTGCTTTCATGGAGAGGAGAGGAAAGAAGCGGGAAGTATAAGAAAAACAAAACTTGCACCAAAGGGTGTGGATGTTGCTGGATATTAAAGATGGGTGGCACATAAACAAACACATGCTTGCATGCATGCAATACTCAGCATTGGCTCTAATAGAATCAAACCGAAACAGAGGAAATACTGTGAATTAGTGTTGCGCGTTGGGTGTGGTGGATGTAGCAGGCCAACAAGACAAGCAGACTATTGTGCTAATTTGTCACATAAGACTTAATGATAAAAAAAAGGCTCCGGTCAAAATTCCAACAGCATATTGGGTATTACTGCAAAGAATGTTGAACTTAACAGGGTGTACTCCATCACTTGCCCAATCACTGCTGTACTACAAAGGCAAGGGAGTTTTGACAGTGCATTGATAGACTGATATTGGCTAATAATTTTGTTTGGATTAGATATGTTTGCTATGTTTCTGTATTGAAAGCCCAATATCATATGGTCAAATATATAAAACTGAAAATAAACTAAATTGGTTGGCTAGATATCTTTCCCACAGAACCATATTGTGTGAAAACTAGGCACCTCGTTCAGTTGGGTTTTTAAGTATTCCTCCTGGATGGGTTTTATTCACAGAAATATCTGTCACTACACTTAAAGCTGGCATGTGGTATCCAGTTGCAATTTAATCCAGGTTTAATTTATTGTCATTTCATCTAAAGAAAGAACTGTCACTGAGCTCTTTCTGAGATCAAGCTACTATTGAAATAACTTCTGGAACAGAAAATGAATAGAAAGTTTAGAAATGCGGTTCAGCAGTGCATTGCTGTTTGAAACTCTTCTAACCCTAACACATGTATTCATTTCACTTTTTGGCAGCTCCTTGGCTTTGTTGTTACTTATAAAGCGTAGAATGTTTGGGTTTGTCTGAATTTGTCAAATTAGGGTTTCACTATTAACATTTTAATATTTAGTGCAATGTATTGAGTGCAATGAAAAGATGACACGTGGTCTGGAAATGTACATTGCAGGAGTACACGTGTATTAAAAGGAGATTTTACAGTATGTTGTCTCATGTTGGTTGATGGTGAACTCATTACATTATATGGTGCACCACTCACCTCCACCATTAGTTTTCATTGGCTCTCTTGCTCTTGCTCAACATGTTATTGACAACATTTGGATCAAATTATTTTTAGTTTAAAATGCATTTGAAATTCTCATGAATGCACTCCCTTATGCACAGGGTGGAATGCATCATATTAACGAGAATTATGTACAAAGTTATCTGAAGTTAAGAATGTGTTGAATCTGATGCGGTGCGCTTTTAGGAGCCTAGGTGAAAAAATAAGAGAAAGTTATGACAAGAACACAAAATGTTTCATGAGGCCCATTGAATGCTAATTTTCACCTTTATGCAAAATACACAGTGATGTCTGTTGATTCGACAGGTTATCAGGCCCTACAGCATTTATGTAATTTTAAACATTCTTTTTGATGTTGTTAGATTAAATTTTGGGAAACTCAATTCTAGTTTTGAATGAAAAAGGCAACCTTAAATAAATATGTTCAGTGTCTGAAGTTTCATTCTGTCACCAACAATTATAGATTGAACGTTAAAATGACATCATTATCTTTTTTTTTTTATCAAGCTGTTTGTAAAGACACTTGAGCTAATCCCAATTTCCTCCACTGGATTAATATAAGTCTCTTTTTTAAAGCTAAGAAAATATTACATCTGTAACTTTGTTCTCTTTGCTTTACTATGCTGGTGAAATATAATAAATGCTTCATCACACCTTTTTAAGCAATTGATAGAGTTTACATAGTGTTAAGATGCTATGTAAATTTCTGACCAATAAATGCAGCTTGTCTCAAAGTGTGAATAACCGACACGTTAAGTTTTTAGCTGATGAGGCTGCCAATTACATTTTTCTGTTGTGCATGAATTGTATTGCTAGTGCTCTTTTGATTTAACATGACCTGGTCGGTCCTTATTACTATTCTAACTAATTTATTCGATTTTTCTGGTTGAATAAAGCATTAAAATAAGCCCCCTCCTCCCCAAGGAGAACTTTATTATGAGCACCTTTTTCAGTTCTCAACTAAGACCTATAGATGCACTCTTACACCCACTGTTCTGTGCAAACACACACACACATAAAGGTCGGCCACCCTCTTTCAGTGAGGGTGGGTATCCTTTTCTCTCACTGCTGTCTGCCTGTCTCCGGCAGGAGGTTTTCATGGAAACAGGGCTTGACTGGAAACAACAGGAGCGAAAGAAAGAAATCCAGCGCTCTGCCCACCTCTCCACCAATACTCCTTTGTGTCCGTCTTTCAGAACCCCCCCCCCTTCCAGTGATGCATTTTGAACTAATTACAGGTTGTTCACAGGGCCGCTGACCACTCTGCATGTCTTCATCTGTGGCGACAGTGCAGAACCTTTCAAAGCAAAAGTCCAGCCGAGTTAAGGATTATTTCTGTGTCCCCTCCACTCCACCCCTTCAGTAATAACACCATGTCGGCTCCCAACTCAAGACCATTATTATGGACCATTATGGACACAGTCTCAGCTGAGAGGGCAGAGGAGGTGAAGTCCTGATAGCTTATAAAAGCCTAAAGCTCAGAGTAACTAGAGATGCAGACATTAGTGAACACCACTCTATATATCCATATATGCTCCATCTGCCGGGTGTATTATCTTCAGACATAAAATCTTTGCCATATAATTTCAGATTCTTTGCTTTTTTTCCAGTCTAATTGTGAAACTGCTCCATTACTGCAGATTTTAGCACCTTTTCTTTGACAAGTACTCTCGATCAGGTCTGTGTTTATGTTTTTTTTCTTCTTGACAATGATTTCTGGAGTACTCCAGGATGTTCGCTTCCTGTGTCCATGGAGACAGATCTCTCTGAGCTCTGGCAAAGTACCCGAATTTCTGCCCAAAGGACGAATTGTCACAATGATGTAACTTTCTTGCATGTGAAATTGTCCAACTGACTTAAAGATTTATTTCAGTGACATGAGACTTTTTTCTTTGTGGCTTAGCAAACAAGAGCAGTCAGGTAAAGGATAATTTGTACTTGCTGATTATAGAGCTGTGTGGGTTTTATTTCTGTCAGTTGCAAAGTGCCTTATATAAGTATTTATGCTCCTTTGCACATTTTGTCATTTCACAAAACTTTTAGTATCGTTTAACTTTACAAACCAGCATTTCTGCATATTTGGGAAGTAAAATGAAAGGAATAGAAGAATTTCATGAACGTTTGGTAAAGGCAGTTAATGTCACTTTTTGCTAAAAGATATTGAGATTGAATTATTTCCTTCCTCTCTCTTGTTTCTGGTTTGTTTTAACACACAACTGCTTTGATCTAAATGATCATACTGTAGTTTTTATTGTATATTTAGGATTGTGATGGTCTATGCATTGGTGTTTCTATACATTTGCTGAATAAATAATTGTTAAATTAAACTGTAAAGGGGTATGATTAGATTTGTCTAAGGATACAGTCAATCATGCTTTATTCTGTCAGCCCATATCATCATAAAAAAACTGATTTAGTATAATGTGTCGAGTACAGGAGTCATAACAGGGGTCAGGACCAGATCCTTTACCACTCTAGAGCCATCCATACAGTAGGTTTATGTAGTAGATACTGATGCAATGGTGGTACCTAACTTAGAAAATGTTTCTTTAAGCTGTAATGTAAATAATGACCCATCCTTTAACCTAACCCCTAAACCTGATCAGACACTTATATACATGTTACCATGCCCACCTAAAGCTTTCAATAATAACTGTGTTGGCTAAATTTTTTTTTTTTTTTTTTTTTTTTTTTTTTTTTTTGTCACATGATACAACGTCCCCAACCTGTAAGTACATGTTTGTGATGCTTAGGGGACTTTGACCAAGCATGAGTATTTGGTGAGGTGGGAGTGAAAATGTGTTGCGCAATCAGGTGGTGTTTTCCACACATAACCTTTGCTACAACTAAAATTTCTGCTTTTGTCTAATCTGATCAAATCACACATCACATCACTTTTGTTGGTCTACATGGTTTGTTTCAAACTGCAAACCAGGCTCCTTGAATAACAATTGTCCTGTCAAGAGGTTCTCTTGTCTAAGCTGTGAATCTCTGCAGCTTTTCCAGAGTTACCATAGGCCTTTTTACTGCTTTTGTGGATTTTTCAGCTGGTAAGTTTAGGTGGCAGCCTGTCTCTTAGTAAGTTTGAATTGCTCCATACTCTTTCGGTTTTGGATTGTGGATTAAACAGCACTCTCAGAGATCTTCAAAGCTTAGGATACTGGTGTGTTTCTCAGTCTTTATAATGTTTGTTGTTCACTAATACTCTCTAACAAAGGATGACTGATGACTTCCAAGTGTAGCCATCTGATTACGCTTCTTTTAGGGGCATCAAAGTAAAAATTTCAGATTATTTGGTAATAAAAAAAATTTGTTGGAATTTTCATTCCTGTTTAAAATAATACAGCATTCTGTTCGTGTATCATATAAAAAAAACATGTAAAAGATTTTAATGTTTGAACATATGATGTGACATAAAACAAAACTTTTAATGTGCATGAATATTTTGTAATATATGTTAGGAAACAACACTCATGCGTACACATGCACTTTGGATTCAGCTATATTACATTTTTTTAACAGGGGCACGCAACGACAAAATCATTTAATGTTTCCACAACTGCAGCAACAGCCAAACAGTGCTCCACCCAGCTTCTTATCTCTCTAGCTTTAAACTCTTATAGATTATGTGTGGATGTGTGTTTGTGTGCGTCTCCTCTTTCATGCGCTCTCTTTACTCTGTAAATGCGCAGCCACTGGGTTTAGTGTCATGGTTCACTGCTCAGTCCACAAGTTGGGAATTGGAAATACGAGGGCTGAGGACACAGCTCTTTGTAAAAGGAATATATATTTTATGAACGCAGAGCTAAAAATGACTAGACATGTTTGAACTGAATGAAATTGAATTATTTCATTAGACTTAGTGATGCTTTTCAGCACAGACAATGTGATACGCCTTATAGGTTTACAGCTCCAGTGTCATGTATCTGACTCCCGTTTCCATGTTCCCATCCCTGCAGCACACTCAGACCCCAATGGCCTGTCACCAAGGCAGATCAAAAGTGACAGTGACGATGATGACCTGCCGAACGTGACCCTGGACAGTGTTAATGAGACCGGCTCCACGGCGCTGTCTATAGCCCGAGCTGTGCAAGAGTGAGTATCGTTGCCTTTTTGGACAAGTGAATGTTATGGATAAGTAAAAATGTAAATAGATGTCAGTTCTGCAAGTTATTTTTTGTTTGTTTATGAAGAAGGGAGCAAAAAAGAAACAAAGTAGCCATAAGGGAAGGTTAACCGATAGGGGTGACCTTAGAAAGAACCTGCCCTGACATGCCTGTTATTAGGGTGCTTTTTCCAGCTGTCTGTGTAATAGAGGTGCATCTAATACCTCACAGTTTCTTAGCAACTACTGTAAAATGGTTTGAAAAAAATTAGAATGAACAAATTTCAACGTAAAACTAATGAAAGAATTGGATTCACCTGTGATTTTTTTTTTGTTTCTTACTAATGAATGATTCTTCAAGTGAAGGTTGACATGAGATGAACACGAGCTACACTTCTCAACTCTTTCATTTTACTTTGTGACCTCTTCTCCTCATTCATTTCTAAATACATTTTTAATTCCAGCCTTTAGGCCGAACATTTAATCTTACCCAGTTGGTTGTCCGTCTTGTCAAGTTTTTTTTTTTTTTTTGGTATTAAAGTAAAAACAATGGTGTCCAAGGTTGCAAAGAGTTGGTTGCATCATGGTTTCTTCTTTTTGAAGCCCTTTTGATTGCTTCACATCACATTCCTAGAGTGCTTGGCATCATACCCCACAATGACGGGTGTTGCATTTATTCATCCTTCACAGTTCAAAAATGGGTGCACTTCAGGCTTTTTTTTTTATTCATTGGAGGGAGGGGGGCTTTCTTTTCTCTCAACCTTTTCATTCTGCTGCTCTTCTTTTGATAAATTGTAACATGTGCTTCTGTACTTTAACATTCAGAATATTTCTGAAACTGGTTCTAAAATAGCTAAAGGTGATGTTTTTTAATCATAATCAAGGAAGTAGGACATAATAAATTTTTTCTTATCAACCAAAAAAAAATGTTACGTTAAAGTACATCGACAAACGTTGAGTACTAGGACCTAAGACTGCAGACTGAAGCCAGCTTCCCTGAGTTTAGACCGTCCAAAAGCTCCTGATTGGCCCTCTTTTTTCTGGTGTGTTTGACTGTCACCACTGTCACTTTTGAGAAGCTCACCTTACAACCATCTGATGCGCCGCTGAATCAGGTCTGTGAAGAGACGGTCACAGCACTACTGAAGCCCTATAGTACATCCTGCCATAATTAGAACTGTAGGGTCGCAAGCCTTTATCTCTGCTTTCTGGTACATTTTTAATTTTTGAGATATCTTAAATGGTCCAGGAATTTTAGTCTTGTGAAAAACCATGTCTGCAAAAGTTAGCAGTTGGGGAGGGAGTCTGCGACTGTAAATTAAGCGTTTGCTCTTCTCTTGGGCCACGTAATATAGAAGGGTTGTAATATCAGGTGTATTGATTTACATGAAACTTTTAATTGGTATCGCGTGCATGTGTTTGTTTGTGTGCTTGGTTATTAGACTCGCAGGCAGGGTGTCTAAAAAAAGAAAGAGAAAATGAGAGACATCTTTTTAAGTCAAAGTGTAAGTTAAATTCAAAGAACTGTGTAACAACCCTAGCAAAAAACCTTCCCCAGCTCCGTAAAGCAGCAGATCCGCTTTAAGATCTTCTTCTGCATTTGAAAGCTTTCAATAACCTTGTAAAGTATATTTGTTTTATTAAAAGTTCTGATAAATCAAATGCTTTCTTAATAAATATTATTATCATCCAAAAAAAGAAAAAAATACTATCTATGAATTTGATTTTATGTATCCAAGGTCATAATAATTGTAACACTATGAGTTTTTAGTGTATGTGGATTGTTGCACCACAAATTGTACCAGAACCATGGAGACAATCACGAGGAGCTAGGGCAAGACGAAGTAAGACAATGCAGGACGAGGAACCAGTACTGAGGAACTGCACAAGGAGAGTATTTATGGGAGACTAAATAAAGAGAGGACTAACGAGCTGATTGGGAGCAGGTGTGAAGAGAGGAGTCTAGAATGGAGCTAGGGAAAAGAAGACCAACACAAGAGGGCAACAATTAAAAACATAAGAACTAAAATATATCCAGAAAACACAACAAAATAGGAATTAAACCAATAAAACTAGAAAAAATGGAGCACAGTAAAACATAACAGAACCAAGACTGTGACAAGTTTTGCGTTAGGGTTAATCTGATTTCTTGTTTTTTTTTTTTTTTCTAACCCTAAAGAATTTGATCAAAATTAGAAATATTTTATATCACATAAATAATAGAGAGATTGAGAAACAACAAGTTACACCATAACACAGCAGAATGTTTTTTTCAAGTCTTCATACCTTCAGATATAATAATAGTGATAATTATATGCGTCACAGAGTGGGTGAGAGCTAAAAAGTGATTTATTGGAAATTTTAAAAGTTGTAATTTTAAGGGATGAGATGGATTTTATAAATCTGGTCCCTTCAATAATCTCCTAATTAAGCCTGAGTAATCCCGCCAAGAAGTTTTAACTAAAGTAATTCAGACATTTCCTGATTATAACTAAAGACTTGACAGGCGTTTCTATTACTCAGGAGGTGTGGATGACCCTGCTAGGTGTGATTCTGTCTCCTAAGAACTGTAATTGGTTGACAAAATACAAACAAAACAAGACAAGCACACTCCCACCTATCCATGAAGAGTGGATAATTAAGACTGGATTAAGAAATGTGTCTCATGATGAGATTTAATATAATTATATTGTCTCTGATTATAAAAATGTGTAAAAACCTTTACATCCTCATCCGTATTTATATTTTTGTGTTTAATCACCATGCTGTCCATTTTACCTCTCCGTCTGTTTGGAATTAACATAGGCTCACCTGAAACATTTCACTGTGATGTCCTTGTATAAAACAGTTTGATTTCACAATAAAATAGAGAAAAAAGGTAAAGCAAACCCAACTGGATGGGTAGCTGTGTCTGCTTTCTGCACACTTCTGTGTGCTTGAATAGAGGAGTGAAAGGTAAATTGGTTCCAGTATCAGGGTATAAAAGAAGCTGTCTTTTTCTATGAGAGTCTTTTTCTCAGATTTTATACACCAGCCTGCAAAGTGAAAAGCATGATATACAGCAATCATAAGCCAGAGAGGAGATGGCATCACTGGTCCAAATATCTAGATGACTATTTGGGTTTCTGGTCATCAACATGTAAAGGAAAAACGTTCATACCTCATCTACATGTTCGTTTAGAATGAATATTATTGTATCTTTTGCTTATCTTTGCTTTGTATATTCATGCATTTATTCTCCATCCATTTTTAAAAATGTTAACCATTAAGAGCATTTTACACTGTATACATAATACTAAAATCCTTGTATAATCCTGTACATTTTCCACCATTTATTCATGATTATTCAACATTTTTTTTACTTTTTATTTCAATAAAATCACGTCATTAGAGGCATACTTTTAATCATTCTGGCTGCTGAAACAAATCATTTCCCCCTCTGCTAATTTATCATTAGCAGAGGGGGAAATGTTAAAGAGGCCTATTTGCTCATGTATGCCAAAGTATTCTTTGTTTCTGCCATCTTCTTAAAGGTATAGTGGAGGATTTTTGCGAATTTTTGAAAAGACCCACCTTCTCCACTTTAGGAAAAAAAATGCACATGCACAACCCTGAACCCGCTCCCAAGAGGATTCGCCTATTTAACATGTATGAGGGAATGCACAAGCCCATTTCTCCTCGTGCACGCTCTGTTTAAAAGTTGCTGTTTGCATCACCTGTACAAGCTTACTTTCTAAAAAAAAAAGATTTGCAATTTTTCCACTATGTCAGACTCACCACCGGTAAGTGAAAATGGGGAGGAGCATGTAGGACAACCTTTCGTAAACATATCACCAGAATGATTGACAGTTAGGGGGACCACTTATTTAGGTGATCCACCCGGAAAAAGAACATCCTCCACTATACCTTTAAAGTGTAAGCTTATGTGTGAACGGCTTTTATCTTACTGAGATACAATTACAATTAAATCTTAGAATTTGACAAATTTTAAGATTTCTTTTAAAATTAAATCCCTTTGAACTACTTTTAGTCTTAGGATCCCTTGTGAATACAGACCCTTCTGTTTAAGCGTTTTTATTTTGGAGAATCTGACATCATGCCGTTACTAAATTTATGTAGTTGAGAAAAAAAAAAAAAATATATATATATATTTTCAAGATAAATAGTTTTACTTTTGAATTGGACTAAAAATCTATGCATTTTTATGTGTCAAGCATGCCTAGTTCCTACCCTTAAAAAAAATAAAAAGCATATACATATAGTAAGGTGGTATCACTTTTACTTGATGACCTGCAGCGAGAGTAAAAACTTTATGACATGCTCCAAAAGTGCCTCCCTATGTGATGATGCATCTGTGTGGGTGTGAATCTATATGTCTGCATGCATATGGCTTAGACATACTCTGTGCCCTGTTCGGCCTGCAGACATCAGCTCCTACGGTGCCAGTCCATCTGTGTTGAAATGAAAAGACTTCCTCTCCAGTGGATGACAGCTTATGGTATTCTGATCCAAAGCAGGAAATCAGAAGCATTCAGACACATTTGGCTCCTCCTGTCATCCTGCTGCTCAGAAACCCTGAAAAGTCAAACTTTCCAACTAATCAAACTCAAGATGCATTTTTATTTATATATTTTTAGATCAACCCTAAGGAAATTATTAGTGGAGTGTGTGAAATGTCTTTTAATGATGCAACATCATTAGTAAGGCTGAAGCCCAGCTTGGCTTGTTTTTTGTGGTGCTGCTCCAGCTTACAGGGTCATCATTTGTTTGTACACTAGCTCCATTAACAGGCACACTAATTAAACTAAATGAGCTTTGGTACATTACATTAGGCTTTAAAAATGATCAGGGTCACTTTGCTCAGAAGAAGAGGTGGCCATTTCTCCAATGCATGCAGGGACTCACTCTAGGATTTAGGTTTCAGTGCAGGTTATTGAAAGGGACAGGCGTGCCCCAGAGTGCCACACGTGGGCACCGGTTGGTCAGAGGA